CACACACACACACACACACACACACACACACACACACACACACACACACACACACACACACAAAGAATGCAGGAATACATGAAGGGACAAAGGTGTGTAATCTGCCGTTACACCCAAGAGAGGTCTTCTGTGTGTGCGGGTGTCTCTAAGAGCACATGAGGAAGTGAAGTTTTGGCCTCAGTCCAAACGGAGCCGTCACGTCAGCGTCGCACCTTTGTTGACACGTCACTTGATACCACTTTGCTAATTGGTCTATTCACCTGCTGTTTAAGCCGTGAGTTGTTCACACTCGTGACACTGTCGCTCTCTGTGCACAGCCCTGTCTGGGAAACTGAATATCTTATCGCTCTGTGCCACAGAGCTCCACTGTTGTACAGAAAAACAACAACTCTTAAATACACATCAGCACGGTTGCAGTGGGTGACCCGTTCCCTCACATGTATCGTATACACGAGCTCTGCAGTTCATTTCACGTCAGTCATTAACCATCCTACAGTCACCTACTCTGAAGGAAATCCACTGAGCTTTAAAAAGGAAAGTGTATATACGTGAGCCCTACAAATATAAATGCCACATGCCTCCGTTGTAGAGACAATTTTATTTTGACATTTTGGTTTAAAGTGGCGAAGAAGAAGAGATTTGTAGTTGTGTTGGCCCGAGCAGGATAAAAGGTCCCACGAGTAAACGTATGCAAGACATCGGTTGTGAGGGGTGTTCAGCATCAGACTGGTACTCGTTATCGGCCGATATGCAAAGTCTGAATCAGTGTTCAGGTGAATAGACCAATTAGCAAAGTGGTATCAAGTGACGTGTCAACAAAGGTGCGACGCTGACGTGACGGCTCCGTTTGGACTGAGGCCAAAACTTCAGTAGAAGTGAAAATGGTTTCAGGACACCTGTAACTTTAAGCTGGAATATGAAAACTAGCTTTCTGTTCAGTGTTAAAATAACAATCACACAATATATTCATGCATTGCTTCTGTCTTTTCGTCGTAGTGAGCATGTTCATGCGTAACTTTGCTCTCAGCTGTGATACTGAGGGTGTGGGGGGTTTCTTCCCATGGTGCAGCTGTCTGTGCGCACACGCTCCACAACCTCCAATGCACCAATCCCTGCAGCGTTTCACTGTTAAGTGTTTATGTATGGGCAAAAATTACAGGCAGGCATGTTTACATACACCAGGGCACTGCTAAGACACAGGTGCAAAGAAATGTGCTTGCATATGTCCGAACACTGCAGGAGAGGGTGATCCACTCTGCATGTGTACAATTATTTCTAAACTACACACACACACACACACACACACACACACACACACACACACACACACACA